ACTGTTTCAATAAATATTTTTTTTTTACCTTGAAATATCTTATTTTCACTAATACATTCTACACTAGGTTCTGTCACTACACCCTCATTTTCTTCTAGTTTTAACTATGACAAATTCCTCAACTATTTTAACTATGGCAGAAGGTTGTTTCAAAACAAGGGGTGAATCGTTAATTTCGAGTTCCTAAAAAATCACTCATATATGATGTATTTGGTGTCTGAATCACCATCACTTAACATTTGGGCAGTGTCACACAGCGCATGAGCAGTGATACGAGGATCTTTGTGTTTTATCTCCATGTAGAAAAGAAGAGAGTCATTGTTTAACTTTGAGGGATTGTTCAATTGGTCAGGCCTTGGGTTTGCTCCCCAATGGTCATCAGTTCGAATCCCCTCAAAGCCACTGAGATGAGTACCCGACCGTAAACTTCAGGGTCCCTTGAGATTAGTCGAGGTGCGCATAAGCTGGTCCGAACATCCACGATTATCAAAAAAAAAAAAAGAGTCGTCATTTGTAATCATTATAGGGGCCATGTTTCTATCAACATCATACTAAATTTTTAGACGAGTCCTCTTATCCATCTTAATTTTACCGATATCATGTCAACAAGATCGACATATTTGCAACCAACCCACACAATCGATATAATAACTGATGCATCAAAACATATTCAGCATAGTCATTAATTAAGACCAAAATATATTTTCTGTTTTTTTCTTTCAAAATTACAAGAGCAATATTTGTCTTTATACAAAGTGGACCTACTAAGTGGTGCATTGAAAAATGAGTCCCTAAAAGAATGTTACAAAGCGTTAACTGTTACTTTCTGTGTGATTTGAGTCAATTTTTTTAATAATAGAAGCTAAAATAAATCACTTTTTAAAAGGGTTTGGGCCATCAAATCCTATATAAAGGAGATGACCTGTACAAGCCTGGATTGAAAAGACTCATAACGCGCATTGCTTCCCCTGTCCGACAATACAACACCTAACACTCCATAGATGTTAGATGAACGATCACGTGCTATCAAGGGCATTCAACTTTACATTTGATCAAAACGAGTATCAAAATTCTTCTACTCCGAATTTTGTGGGAGACAGAATTGATCTACTAAACATCGAGTAATGTGACACACTAACTACCAATAAATGTAATCATCTATGGGAGTACATTGGATTAAGATCACTAAAACTCCAATTTACTCTTTGTTTATGCATTAAAATTAAATTATCCAAAACCAATGGGCACAATTGTGAAAACTTGAATTACATGCATGCTCTTTATAGCGGCATAGCCACATTTGTAATTCCATTATAAAAATAAAACAAAGTGAAAATTAAGCCAAAAGCCAGAATTTTTTGTGACTTTTAGTAGTAATCAAATATCCTCCATATTTCTTGCTCTTCCTTCTCACTGCAATTGTCATGCAACTAGCATTTTGAATGCAATAATCTACAATCCTATTTTTCTTCTTTAATTCTGTCGACCAAAACCTCTGCAATCTCCATATTATCGAGCGTTTTCGCTGTCCCAAAACCAGTAATAAAACCTGTCTATGCTTAGCTTCTTCGACTATTATTTCTCCATTTTCCTTTCCTTCTCGAATTGCCATCTCCACGCGCACCTAAGTCATCATAACATACATTAAATCATACTAAATTTTGTTATTTGAGAGAATTAGACTTGCTTTTTGTTTATGTATTAATATTATTTGACACAGTAAAAATAAGTGCAGATTTGAGTACTGGAAATAGATAATTTACTCACCTCAGGTCTTCTTAATTGGCATATATTTTTCATGGAATGAAGAAGTTCATATGCCCTTTGATTAATTTCTCCATTATAATTTTCATCTGTGAAACATTAACTTTTACTACTTATTATCATGTAAATATAATTTCATCATGTTTTGAAATTTGCACTCACGATCTCCAAACTATGCCCCTACATCGGACCACTTGGTTGGTCCAATTTGGGGACCGTGACTACAAAATTTCCTGCAATTGTTTCGTGATCGAGAAAATAATGCAAAGAAGTCATTACCTTGTTTGGCAACATGCAGGAGAATAATTGTATCCTGTGCTTGAACAGTATGAGAGAGTGCCCATTCTAGAGCACCTTTAGCTTCCTGGCTCGAATCGACCACCACCATCACTCTATTCCCACATTCAAATTCCAATTTCGACAAATGACTGTTGAAATTTGGTTCATTGACTTCATTTGAAGCATCGGATTTCTCTCGACCCTCGATAAAACTTGCACTCTTCTTGTACTGCACACAGGGTGAACGAACACGGACACGAGCACGAGCACGAACACGAACTGCAGCTCGATTCATGCACAATCCTGGCATTCTAGTGTTCATTTACAGGCTGTACTTCGATATGAATTTTTGTGTGTGAACTTGGTTTTTGGGAAAGAAGAAAATTATATAGTATGTGGTTTGTGGAGGAATGTATGGTAGGTCATGGGTCATTTTCTTTGCTTTATTGTCTTTATTCTATATTTTTCTAACGTGGGGCTTCTTGAACGTGCTACCATGACCTAAATGACTCGTATCTAGACTGGTTCTTGGATAAAATATTGTTATGCTAATCATAATAGGAGTGAATATAAAACCTATGCACGCTCAAATATATAATTATATGACTCATACGCGCAAAATATGTAATTGTTTAATCATATATACACGGATTAATTAATTTGATCAAGATTGTGAGATCGTTGAATTGTAATAACTTTGTATTTGGCATGTACGTTAAAGTGAACATGATTATCTTGAGCAACGAATCTAATTCGGTCAAGCTTGTGAGATCATTTGATTCTGGTCATGTATTTGGTAGGTAAGTTGAATTGAATTTGATGAAGGTGATCAATAAATTTAGTTCAATTGAAGTTGTGAGATCATTGCATTCTAATTAAATATTTGAGTTGAATATTAACTAGATCAATGAATCTAATTTGGTCAACCTTGCAAGAATTCTGAACTATAAGTCTATAACTAATGACATAAGTTGTATGTTCGTAACGTGAGCAACAAATCTAATTTGATTGATTTTTGTACTTCGCTTACGTATTTGGTATCTACGCTGAATTGAACAAGATAAACTTCAACGATCATTGAACTAAAATATGTATATTGAGTTGGATAAGATTAATTAGATTGGCGAATCTAAGTCGATAGAGCCTACGAAATCGTTACTCTCATATATTCGACAAGGATGTTAAATTGAGTGAATTAACTAAAGTAAACTAATTTAATTTAGTCGAGCTCATTAAAGATGTCGAATGGTTCTTCCATGGGTGCAAAAAAGGGTCAACTTGATGTTATAATACTAAATTGATGTGTCAAACCTTAACTGCTTAGGTGTCCGGCAGACTAAGGCCTTGTTTGAGAGAAATTTTAATCAAGATTTTAATCAAAATTTTAGCCGTTAACTATCAAATCAGCAATCATTTTTGACTTTCTCTCTCACAGGTGGGGCTCACATGTTGACTATAACGACTATAATTTTGATTAAAATCCCACAAAATTGCTCCCAAACACGCTCTAAAGTGTGTAAAGCATTATTTATTTTTTTATTTTTATTTTTTTGGGTTCAAATGTCACAATCGAGTGGTTAGGCAAAATTCCATGATTCTCCTTCATGACTTGCATGTATACATTATGTCTATTTGGTGGGGTTAGGGGTGGAATTTTAGTGCGTATCTTTTGTAGTCTTTTGTTCCCAATTTAGTTGAGGAGATGGGGAGCAATAGCCGTAGTAGCAAAAGGTCCATATTCACAATTAATTGGCAAGACAAATGAAGGTCTAGAATAATTGTCTTTTGCTTATAAGTTTACGGAATGTCTTTTTACTTAAAAGCTAGAATTCAAGTTAAAAGATTAAATTATTAGATGAAAAGGGATAAAAAGTTTTCTATGAACAAAGAGAACTAGAAGGCGAATTTTGAACTTTTTTACTTCAAAATTTAGATTTCGATATATTTGGGTCATTTTTACACAAAAGGACACATTATCACAATGAAGAAGAGTCGCGTCTCTGATAGAGAAGGTGTCTTACATGAAAATTTTAGAAGAAATGTAGAAAAATCTTGTGTTTAAATTATTAATATATCAATTTTTTTAATTTTCTAATATTTAAAATTTTTAGATTAGGAAATTTAACATAAATTCGAAAAGTTAAATTTCTCTTTAAAATTATTTAAAATTTGGCACTAATGAAATCATATGGTGTTTTTCATTATAACTTATTGATTAGAGTGGTGCTGTATGAATTGTAGGGGGTGTTTGATGTACATTATTATCAAAATAATGCATTTTATGATGTGATGTGAATAAAAATGTGATTAAAAAATAAAAAAAAATTGAATTTGTGTATAATATTATTTTATTGGAAAATGGGCTAAAGCTACTTTGGAGATTTCATATAAATTCGGCAACCATAATAGTAGAGAGAGACAAAAAATGGGACAGTAAATGGATGATTCTAAAGGACTCCAAGAAAGTGGCCCTCACAATAGTTGGTTTGGCTGTATCCACGCCATGATTGACGCAGCTTAATTGATGTTCAAGCTCTTCACTAACAAACATATAGATATATAAGATATTTGGAGTTCGAGTCCATAAATAGTAATATCATTGATAGATTTGGGGTCAGTTCAATCTTCAAATTTGGAAGACGATTCGAGTCTAACTCAATCGCATTTTAGACGGATTTGTTTAAGGGAAAAAAATATGTAACTACGAAAGGTTTCAAAACGAATTTGTGAATTTTTTTAAAAATCAGATGATTACATTTTGTGATAGGGTCATGCTATGTGTACATAGGTATACAAATTGGAGTTGACATAATGTGAGTGAGATGAGCCCATGCTCAGCCCGAGCCTCGGCTTGGACTTTTTCCGGGCCTAGCTCAAGCCAACCGAACCGACGAGCTTTTTTGCCATCCCTACTCCTATCTTAGAAATCTCTTTCTTTATAATTCAACAAAGGTCCTAGATCTTTATAATCTCCAACAATTTAGAGTGATACAGTTTTTTCTACTTTTTTATTTTATATGTATCTATTTAAGTAAATTTACACAATATTAAAAATATAATATAATTTTCTTTTTGAAAGTGGATATATATGGCTCCCGAAATAATAATTATTACTTGATAATAGAAAAAAATAATTATACCTAATTTTTTTTACTTTGAAACACCGGATTTCTGAAATTGAAATTTATAATATATGGTATAAGGTAATTTTTTTAATAGAAAAAATACACAACTGCCAACATTTAGATATACACTTTCAAAGTTACAAACTTATGGAATTCTTTCAAAAATCAAGTGGTATTAATTAAATCAATTATTAAATGGGTTAATTTCACAAATGGTCACTGAAGTTACACCAAAATTACAAAATGGTCACTNGAAGTTACAGCAAAATTACAAAATTGTCACTGAAGTTCGAAACTTGCATAAACAGTCACTCATCTTTCAGGCACTTTCAAAAATGGTCACTGAGGTAAATTTTGGGACTTTTTTGTTCTAATTGAAATCCAAATGAACAAAAGACCACCCCTTGAAAATTGGAGGACCTGAAGTGCAATTCTCTTTGGATAATAAAACACCAAATTGACGTGCACCCATTTTTTTTTTTTGCCTGTTTTGCTTAATTTTTTTTCCAACCATATTTTTGCCTGTTGCTTAATTTTTTTTCCCAACCATAACAGTAGAACTGTAGAAGTGCCGAAAAAAATTCATTTTTGTACATAATTTAATGAAAGGAAGAAGAAAAATAATCTCCAGCCAAGAAATTATTTAAATGGTATACTTAAAATACAGTTTATACATTGAATTTTGTCGAACATGAGGAACACCGAACTTGAATTCTTGAAATGCCAACATAAATATGAATAGCTTTAAACCCAGAGCAGAATATTAGTAACAAGTGATAAAATCCCATCTTGATTGAACCTACTTCATTTTTATGGAAGAAAAACACAAATACCGCCCCAAAAAACAATAAAAAAAAAAAGAATAAGGAAAATTAAACTCAGTGGCACCAATCTATTTCATAAATGCCAATTTTTTTTTTTATCATTCAAACCCAAAATTAAAATTAAAAGCAAAACAAGAAGGAGAATGAATAGTTGAAGCCATGAAAACCCTGTGAAATCTGATACGAGCATCAGGAAAGGAAGCCATCTTCTGAGGCGTGAAGCTAAGTTTCAGTGCCATTTTTTCCCAAGTTATTGAGCAAAATTAGAATCGGAAAATTTGTTGCTAGAATCAATAGAAGCAGAAGGCAAGAAGGCAAAGGAAGGAAGGAAGGAAGGAAGAAACGGTGGGCACAAGTGAAGGATGGAGAGATACAGACACACTAAAATAAGGCAATGGGGGTGTTGATTCAATAAATGTCCTCCAATTTTGAAGGGGTGGTCTTTTGTTCATTAAGGTTTCAATTAGGACAAAAAAGTCCCAACATTTACCACAATGACCATTTTTGAAAGTGGCTGAAAGT